CACAGTGCGCAATGAGAAAAAAAAACTTTGACCGTGTTTATGGATTAAAACAGCGACTTTGCACTGTATTTTTGTATGGTATTTATTGTTGTATTCTAGTTTTCTTGGTCTCAATTTATAGAATGGAAGACATATTACAGAAATTGAGATGATTTTGACTGGTTTTAAATGAAAAGTACCTTGAAATTGAGCTCAAAGTAGCAGAAATGTTCGATTTTTACCAAAGTTCAAAAGTAAACAAATCATGCCAAGCGTCCAATACACATCAACTGGCGAGTCTAATATTCTTTCACAAGTGCGCTCATATTATTTATACCATTTCTACACTAATGCAGCAGTCTGTATAACAGTAAATCTTATTTTTTTTTTTTTTGTAAGAATAAAAATTCAAAGCGGAAAGCCAAAGAAATACAAGAGGGGCCTGGGGATGTGAGTAACGAACAAAGAACTTGTTATTTTAGTGCCAGGAATGTCTTTCTTGTTTATTCTGGACCCTATTCGGAAATTGGCATCTTTTGAAATTTGTGTGAAATTGGCAAAATTGCTAAATTCTGACCACTTTATTGGATAGTTGAAATCAGTAAATGGGTGGTTTCTTGTACTCATTCGATAGAAATAATGGAGTTTTAGCGAAATAGTTATGATTTTTGTCTACTAGTACACTAGAATTGGCCGAAAATAGGGCTCAAAGTGGGTAAAATCGCCGATGTATAAACATCGTCGAGACCACTAACTTCGCGAGCATAATTCCGTAAGTTTTCCATCAAATTTCATACTTTTGGTGTCATTATGATCGGGAAAAGATTCTCTATCTTTTCATAAGAAAAAATTATTTTGTTTTTCGTTTAAATTTGGCCGACCCTGAGAACAAGTCTCTGAGAGGACCTGTCGACCCCCAAAGGGTTAAACAGAGCCAAACCTTGGATGACTGCTGAGATATTAAATATGAGATTCAGAGACCAGTTGCTACAAAGATTTAAGGCAAACAGGCAGGATATTGCAGTGCTAAATGAATTCCAAAGGGTAAGGAACAGAATGCAGAGGCTTATATAAGGAGCAAAGGCAAGGCACTATTGCTCAAGAATCAAACAGTACAAGAGCAACCCCAGAAAGCTCTGGCAACAACTAAAACAGTTGAGGTATAGCCATAAACCTGTAGATAGATCTAACATAGTACTAAATATTGATAATGAGGTATGCCACGAAACAAATGAAGTGGCGAATTGTTTTAATTCCTACTACACATCTGTCGCATCAACACTAGTAAGTAAACTACCGGCTGCATCAAATACCCTCAACACTGACCCTGATAAGTTTAAAACATACTATACTAATAAAGGGGTAACCCCGTAAGGGGAATTACCAATAGACCCCAGGTTGTCTTCAAGAGGGAGCTGGACAGATACCAAGAGGCACTGCCAGATCAACTGGGCTATAGTTTGTATGTGGGACTATGTGTGGCCAGCAGCAACAGCCTCGTTTGATCAGGCCCTGATCCACCAGGAGGCCTGGTCATGGACTGTGCCGTGGGAGCAATGATTCCTGGAATACCCTCCAGGTAGACCCCAAACAGTTGTCAACTAGTAAGTGTATCTCATGACTTCGTGCAGAAAGAGCTAAGCAGGTTAAGCGCAACTAAGAGCACTGGCCCAGATAACATCCCGTCTAAGTTCCTAAAAGATGGTGCCTCTAAATTGCCAATCCCCATTGCTCACATAATAAATTTGTCCATCACCACTAATACTGTACTGGAGGGGTTCAAGGAGGCCAGAGTTACTCCTGTCATCAAGAAAAATAGTAGGTCTGATACCAGCAACTATAGGCCTGTTAGTATACTCGGTATAATATCCAAAATTTTAGAGAGGGCAATGTACTGTCAAGTAGTTAAGTATCTTAATGACAACAACATTCTTCATAGTTACCAATCAGACTTTAGGAGATCTTACTCAACTGACGCCTCTCTAATTAACCCTTTGACTGTCGCAAGCCCCTTTCTGAAACTGTCAATATGTGTCGCAAAAGTTTTGGAAAAAAAAAAATTCTTATGAAATGATAGAGAATCTTTTCCCGATGGTAATGACACCAAAAGTACGAAATTTGGTCGAAAACTCACGAAATTACGCTCCCGCGAAGTTAGCCGTCTCGGCGACACATACGCATCGGCAATTTCGCCGACTTTGAGCCCTGTTTTTGGCCAATTCCGTTGTTCCAGTTGACCAAACTCATAGCTATTTCTTTAGAACTCCATTTTTTCTATCAGATGAGTACATACAAGAAACCGCCCATTTACCGATTTGAACTACCCAATAAAGTGGTCAGAAATTGGCAATTTGGCTAATTTCACGCAAATTAAAAAAGATGCCAATTTCAAAATAGGGTCCAGAATAAACAATGTAGACATTCTTGGCATTAAAATAAATAACATATCCTCTGTTCATTAGTCACGTCTCTAGGCCCCTCTTATATTACTACTGCTTTCTATTTTGATTTTTTATTCATACAAAAAAAAAATACAAAATTTACTGTTATGCAGACTACTGCATTATTGTAAAAATGGTATAAATAATATCAATGCACTAGTGAAAGAATATTACTCTCCAGTTGACGTGTATTGGACATGTGGTGTAATTTGCTTACTCCTGAACATTAGTAAAAATCGAACATTTCCGCTACTTTGAGCTCAATTTCAAGGTCGTTTTCATCATGAAAGTAATGAAAATCATCTCTATTTCTGTAATATGTTTTCCATTTTATCACATGAGACCATGAAAACTAGAATACAACTATAAATACTATACGAAAATGTACCTCAAAGTCGGCGTTTTAATCCAAAAAAATGGTCAGTTTTTTTTCTCATTATGCATTGCATGCTGCAGGATTTTTTATATGTGGTGCACAGTGATCACACAGACCCATTCTCTTGCATGTGGGCCTACCAGCTCTCCTGCTTGATTTGAAGCCGCTAAAATTTATGCGTATAAATACGTCAGAAACAGTGGCGCATAAGACGTATACATACGACGTAAACAGTCAAAAGGTTAATCTGATGGATTACATGAGAACTGAAATGTCGATAGGGAACTTCATAGGAATGGTAACCTTAGACTTGCAAAAGGCCTTCAATACTGTCAACCACAATATATTATGTAAGAAACTTCAAGTTATTGGCATGGGTTCTGTAGTGAATATCAAAATAGCATATAATACCGACAGGTTGGTAGGTAAGACACACAGGCAACAGTTAGGCAACTTTATTCCAAAACGTTTCGCCTACACAGTAGGCTTCTTCAGTTGAGTACAGAAAGTAGGCAGGAGCTGGTTCCGTAGACTGGTTTAAGTCCTATCTTAGCAATAGGAAACAAATTGTCAAAATCACCCAAACAGAATCAGAACCTCTGCCGACAGCATGTGGAGTTCCCCAAGGTAGTATTCTGGGTCCCTTATTCCTATGTTATGTAAACAACATGTCCATCACTGTTAAATGAAAACTCCTACTGTATGTATATGACAGTGCTCTGTTAGTGTCAGGTAAAAACCTACAAGATATAGCTAATGTAATAACACTGGAACTGGAGTCCTGCAGGAAATGGTTAGTAGACAACGAACTATCGTTACACCTCGGGAAAACAGAAGCCATACTCTTTGGCATGAAATATAAACTGAGAAGGGTATATAAAAAGCAAAATTGCCATATATGGTAGTTATACACAAAAGCCACCATTTGCACACCATAGGTTTGTTTTGGTGTGTTCAGTTGTATAATAATGAAACATTTTAAGTTCACTCAGTAGTGTTATTGGGGAATAACAATCGATTTTTGTTTGTTTTCTCCATCGTATGATTTCATCTAAAAAAAATTTTTAAATGCAAGAAAACCATCACAAACCAACATGCAATCCTAGACATAGACATATCCACTTGTACGCATCGAGACAGTGAGTAGAAAGAGAACATGGCCAGTCAGGTAGAGTTTTACATACTGTACACAAATCATGAGTGATAGTATCCTGCAATGTTCAATTGCAGCTAAATTGACATGAAAGTCACAAAAATACTGCCAAGCACAAGAAAACTGAAGAACCATTCAGTACACAAAAACAAACAGTGGAAATGAAGGGCCAAATGGAAGTAAATCACTTTGACTTTTTTGGGTTATCCTAGGTACTTTACACACATCTTACTATGCATGATAATTTGTGTAACTTTACTTATGTGTATCTGTACCTAAATAAACTTGTTAATTTGAAAACATAAGCGATGCTGCAAGAAGAACAGAGGGAAATAGTCTCATTCACCGCAAAATGAGGTAAATAAAACTTATACAGTTTTGAACAGCTCCCAACTCAAACAATTATGTACGTGTATTTTTGTAAGTGCTTTTGTAAGTGTATTTTTGGGGGTCTGAAATGGACTAATCTATTTTACATTATTCCTTATGGGTACAAATTTGTTGGGTATCAGCACTCAAACAGCCTTCTGGAACAAATTAACTTCGTAACTCGAAGTACCACTGTATTATTAACTTTATAAATTGTATTATATCAAAACCAGTACTCTTCAAAACTGTACTATGCAAAGTATTCCTGTATGTGTGGTTACTGAGAAAGGGATCTGACACTAAGATATCAGGGAAGATATAACACATTGATACTACAGTCTCACTTGATGTTCCATTTTCTCTGTTTCCTTATTGTTCTAACAAACAATACCTCATTTTAGGTTTCCCTTTATCCCAAATATGTGACTTTTATTTTTGTCTTTTATCTCACTTATATGTGCTTGTTATAAAAGGTTCTTTTGAAACATTTATTAAATCTAACATCCCCTCCCCACTATTAGTCTGCTTTATGGAGATTGCATTGTATACTGATCATGCACAAAATGGTCCCCTGCATATATGTCATGCACAGTTAAGGGGTTAAAACCAAAATACAGAAATAATGCATCAGAAAAAGCTACCTGCGATATATACATCTTTTCAGGAAAAATTTAAAAATTACCTCCTTCGTTGTATAGCAGAGCAACAGCTAGCTTAATGCTGGCTCCTACATTACCAGAGAGGGCTGCTCTTTGAAACCAGTGCCAAGTTTTCTCATTAGGCCATAATTCCTGCAAAGAGGTACAGCAATTGTTTATATACTTTGTTTACAGAATAAACAGAAAAATGTAATAAAGAAAAGTGTAGCAAAAAGTAAGATTTAAAAGGATTCACTTTCCAGTAAGGCACAGTGATCCAAAGAACACATTAACCATTACTCATGCAATACTTCTTGTTTGGCCAAAAGTGTTCACTTTCAACTTCATTTTATATGACATCCAAAATCCTCCACCAACTTCTCTTCCTAATCACTCAATAACAGATTCATTCCAACAGACTAGCAGGAAACACACTGCCTTTCTTTTTTTAATCTCGCTGGCCGTTTCACTCCAAGGGAGGGTTTACCTGGAGTTTACCTGGAGAGAGTTTCGGGGGTCAACGCCCCCGCGGCCCGGTCTGTGACCAGGCCTCCTGGTGGATCAGCGCCTGATCAACCAGGCTGTTGCTGCTGGCTGCACGCAAACCAACGTACGAGCCACAGCCCGGCTGATCAGGAACTGACTTTAGTTGCTTGTCCAGTGCCAGCTTGAAGACTGCCAGGGGTCTGTTGGTAATCCCCCTTATGTGTGCTGGGAGGCAGTTGAACAGTCTCGGGCCCCTGACACTTATTGTATGGTCTCTTAACGTGCTAGTGACACCCCTGCTTTTCATTTGGGGGGATGGTGCATCGTCTGCCAAGTCTTTTGCTTTCGTAGTAGTGATTTTCGTGTGCAAGTTTGGTACTAGTCCCTCTAGGATTTTCCAGGTGTATATAATCATGTATCTCTCCCTCCTGCGTTCCGGGGAAATACAGGTTTAGAAACCTCAAGCGCTCCCAGTAATTGAGGTGTTTTTATCTCCGTTATGCGCGCCGTTGAAAGTTCTCTGTACATTTTCTAGGTCGGGCAATTTCACCTCCCTTGAAAGGTGCTGTTAGAGTGCAGCAATATTCCAGCCTAGATAGAACAAGTGACCTGAAGAGTGTCATCATGGGCTTGGCCCTCCCTAGTTTTGAAGGTTCTCATTATCCATCCTGTCATTTTTCTAGCAGATGCGATTGATACAATGTTATGGTCCTTGAAGGTGAGATCCTCCGACATAATCACTCCTAGGTCCCTTTGACGTTGGTGTTTCGCTCTATTTTGTGGCTCAGAATTTGTTTTGTACTCTGATGAAGATTTAATTTCCTCATGTTTACCATATCTGAGTAATTGAAATTTCTCATCGTTGAACTTCATATTGTTTTCTGCAGCCCACTGAAGATTTGGTTGATGTCCGCCTGGAGCCTTTCAGTGTCTGCAATGGAAGACACTGTCATGCAGATTCGGGTGTCATCTGCAAAGGAAGACACGGTGCTGTGGCTGACATCCTTGTCTATGTCGGATATGAGGATGAGGAACAAGATGGGAGCTAGTACTGTGCCTTGTGGGACAGAGCTTTTCACCGTAGCTGCCTCGGACTTTACTCTGTTGACGACTACTCTCTGTGTTCTGTTAGTGGGGAAATTATAGATCCATCGACCGATTTTTCCTTTTATTCCTTTAGCGCGCATTTTGTGCGCTAAAAACGCCATGGTCACACTTGTCGAAGGCTTTTGCAAAGTCTGTATATATTACATCTGCATTCTTTTGTCTTCTAGTGCATTTAGGCCCTTTGGGTCGTAGTGATCCAGTAGTTGAGACAGACAGGAGCGACCTGTTCTAAACCCATGTTGCCCTGGTTTTGTAACTGATGGGTTTCTAGATGGGTGGTGATCTTGCTTCTTAGGACCCTTTCAAAGATTTTTGAAAATGGGATGTTAGTGCTATTGGTCTGTAGTTCTTTGCTGTTGCTTTACTGCCCCCTTTGTGGAGTGGGGTTTATTCTGTTGTTTTTAGTAACTGAGGACGACCCCCGTGTCCATGCTCCCTCTCCATAGGATGGAAAAAAGGGTCGTGATAGGGGCTTCTTTGCAGTTTTTTGATGAACACAGAGTTCCATGAGTCTGGCCCTGGGGCAGAGGGGCATGGGCATGTCATTTATCGCCTGTTCGAAGTCATTTGGCGTCAGGATAACATCGGATAGGCTTGTGTTAGTCAAATTTTGTGGCTCTCTCATAAAAATTTTATTTTTGGGCTTCGACTCTCAGTCTGGTTAGCGGCTTGCTAAAAACTGAGTCAATTTTTGGGACTGAGTAGCTCCCCTCATTTCCTTGCTGTCATCTGTGTAGGACCATCTTGTTTAAGTAGGGGCCCAATACTGGACGTTGTTTCTCGATTTTGATTTGGCATAGGAGAAGAAATACTTTGGGTTTCTTTCGATTTCATTTATGGCTTTTTTGTTCTTCCCGCGATTCCTGACTCCTAAAGGATTCTTTTTAGCTTAAGTTCGATGCTTGCTATTTCTCTGACCAGTGTCTCCCTGCGCATTTCAGATATATTGACCTTTTTAGCCGCTCTGTTATTCTTTTTCCGTTGGCCGTAAAGGGAGCGCCTGTCCTCTTCTATTTTACATCTACTCCTCCTTTTCCTTAGAGGAATAAGCCTTGTGCATACATCGAGTGCCACCGAGTTAATCTGTTCTAGGCAAAAAGTTTGGGTCTGTGTTGCTTAGTATATCTTCCCACTTATATCGTTTAGGACTTGGTTTACTTGGTCCCACTTTAGTTTTTTTGTTATTAAATTTTTGAATTTTGGTGAATGCTCCCTCGTGACTAGTCTCATTTTGTCGGTCTGGGGCTCCATGCATACATGTCTGAACCTCAATTATGTTGTGATCTGAGTATATTGTTTTTGATATGGTGACATTTCTTATCAGATCATCATTGTTTGTGAAGATGAGTCAGTGTATTCTCCAGTCTTGTAGGCTCTTATTTGCTGGTTTAAATTGAATTGTTGTGCAGAGATTTAAAAGCTCGTGTGAGTGTGAGTTTTCATCAGAGCTGCCTCCTGGTGTTATTAACTGCAACAATATTATTTGCTATATTCCTCCATTTTTTAGGTGCCTTAAGTTTGAAATCCCCCAGGAGCAAGATGTTGGGTGCAGGAGCTGGAAGATTTTCCAGACAGTGGTCAATTTTTTAACAGCTGTTCCTGGAATTGCTGGGATGTTGCATCCGGAGGCTTGGTAGACTACCACAATGACTAGGTTTTGGTTCTCGACCTTTACTGCTAAAACTTCCACTACGTCATTTGAGGCATTAAGCAGTTCTGGGGCAAACAAGTGACTCTGCAATGTACAGGCCAACCCCCCCCTTTTGCCTGTTCACTCTGTCCCCATCTGTATAGGTTGTAACCTGGGATCCATACTTCGTTGTCCAGTGAAACCTTTATGTGGTCTCAGTGAAAGCCGCGAACATTGCCTTTGCCTCTGCAAGCAGTCCACGGATGAAAGGGTATTTTGTTGTTTGTAGCTGGGTTTAGACCCTGTATATTTGCAAAGAAGAATGTTATCGGACTGGTGGGAAATTTTTGGTACTGGGGGGGGGGGGGGTTTTTTTTTTCCGCATTAGTAAACTGTATCTGTTGGTTTGGAGTGGAGGCCATCGACTGTGGTTCCACTCCAGGAATACTGGATTTGGTGTACGATTTCTGCCATTTCCTGCCGTTTTTTTTCCTTCCTGGCACTAAAAAACCTCTCCCTCTTGAGTGGCTGTGGCTACCCGGGTTTTTTCCCATGGCCTGGATGTTTTGTATCTTTTTGTCCCCTTTAGATGGTAGGGCCTGGAAATTTAAAAGTTTAGCACAGTCTTTCCTGTACTGAAGAGGTACACATTTCAGGGTTGAAAAAGCTTACAGGAAGGGGAGTTTGCAATTTTCCTGTTTTCATATGGGCATGGCATTTTCTAGGGTGGTCATAGTTGCATGTCCCATCTTTTTTTTTCCAGATTTCCCATGCCAGCAGATACCAATGCATAGTATGTGCACAGGCTTGTTTCCGCTTCCCTTTGGGTTTCTGTGACTGTATTCCCTTTTGGGTGCATGTTTCCCTGTCTTACTTCTATCCCCCCTAGCCCCAAACAATGGAGCTCCACCAGTTGTTTTTGGTAATTTTTTCCTCACTATTGCTATTGGAGTCCTCTTGTTTGCTATTTCCTGCGGATTTCTAGTTTTTCAATATTGGTTTTATCTTATCTTTGACTACACTTGTTTCCCTACTATGGCTCCTGTCCCCTTGAGATCATTTATTGTATTCCTTCCTGCGTATAATTCCCGACTACCTGGACAATATCTCCAGCTTCACCATTTCTGTCTCCCCGGGCAGTATCTCCAGCTTCACCATTTTTTGTCTCCCAGGACAAACACTCCAGCTTCACCATTACTGTCTCCCAGGACGTATCTCCAGCTTCACCATTTCTGTCTCCCAGGACAGCACCTCCACTTCACCATTTCTGTCTCCCAGGACAGTATCTCCAGCTTTACCATTTCTGTCTCCCAGGACAGCACCTCCAGCTTCACCATTACTGTCTCCCAGGACAGCACCTCCAGCTTCACCATTACTGTTTTCCCAGGACAGCACCTCCAGCTTTACCATTACTGTCTCCCAGGACAGCACTATCAGCCCCACATTTACTGACTACCAGGACATCACCTCCAGCCTTACAGTTTATGACTACATGGCCAGTATCAAGGGCAGTACCATTCAGCCCAGGGCATTTTATGTTCCCATCTGTTGTAGAAAGCTTCCAAGGGTTTTCTATGAAAGCAGCTTTGATGTTGTCCTCTTTTAATACCTTGTGATTTTTGTCCACAGATTTTCCTCATTTGAGCATACCCAAAAACACCTTTCTCTGTTTTAATACTGCTGTAGCTAGTTCCCGGGATATCTGCCCCAAGGGGCGTTGACACCAATTTCCACAAAAATGACAATTTATCCATGTGGAAGCCCGTTTGTTTTTACTGACCACAGACTACACAGGGCTTCATAATGATTTGAATGGTTGATTTTACTGCAAATTCTACTAGCAACCCCTTGAAAATTCTATTAATAACCTTAAATGAAGCTCTAGCTATTTGTATTTCTGTTTCTAACTCTTTTTGTATATTGGACAGCTTACCGTCACGTTCCTGATTTTAATGTTTGTGTTTATAGGGCGCCTACAACCCCATCCGTTTACAGTCTGCTTTATTGTCCAACGAAACTGTTTGAAACCAGTCCCGGGTTCGGACCAGTCAAGGGTTCGGACCAGGCAAGGGTTCGGGCCAGACGATCTGCTCTGATCAGTGGGTCACTTATTTAAAACATACTGGTCGGTGATTTGAGCTAACACATGAAGGATCTACTGGAAATTATCTACCCGAGTAATATGTGATTTGACTGATACAAAAGTATAACTTGCGTGTGACTCAACAAAGTTAACACATCCACCATCATCCATTCATTCAGTCTCATTACAAGTGCCAACATTACAGTTCAGGTTACCCTTTGACTGCACCATCTCCATTCCTCCTCCAGAGTGCAAGCACTGCCCTCCCTTCCTCCAGGACTCAAGTCCAGCTAACTGGCTTCCCTGAATTCCTTTATAAATGTTACCTTGCTTACGCTCCAACTGCACATCCATTAAAAACTACTCCATCTTATTTAATTAATCTTATTTAATATGCTCATACAACCTTGCTGGATGCTCAAACCTGTAACACTCAAAGCCTCCTTTACCTCTCTCCCTCCAACCATTCCCATCTTCCATTCCAGATTCATAGCTTCTCTTCCTCTCAATCCATTCTAAATGCCCAAATCCCCTCAGAAACCCCTCTTCAGCCCAATGAATTTTACCTATGATGACCCCACACTGTCTTAATTTCTACACTCCTATCCCTCTACATAATATTCACACCATATATTGTTCTCAAACATGATATCACTGCCTCTAGTTTCATTACAATGTTCAAAACCTATGCCTCACATCCCCCCCCCCCCCCAAAAAAAAAAAAAAAAAAAAAATTGGTACCACTATACTCTGGCACATTCCTTTTTTTTTTCTCCATAAACTTTTCTCCACAGATGCCTCAACACATCACCCATCTACCTTTTTCTTAACACCAGCCATATCCCACCAAGGTAGGATGACCAGAAAAAGAACACTTTCACCATTACTCCAATCTATCACTGTCTTGTCAGAGGCACACCAACATTACAGCTCAGATGCCCCTCCAAACTGCAATATCCCCACTCATCCTTCTGGGTTATTAAGAGCTGGACAGCTTATTGAATAGTGAATACTGTAGTAATATTCACTCAATTTAATGCTGATCATTTTATCTTGAGCCCTTGGGAGGGGGGAGGGGGATACACTGCATTTTCAATCATATCAGATTATCATAATTTTTTTTATGGCATTTTTAGCATTGTATGTTTAGGTGTGAGATCAAGAAAGATCAACAATGTTTAAACAACAAATAACCAATCAAGGGATAATCTATTTTACCTGTGACTTGTCTCGAGTTTTCTTACTCTCCTACTCGAGTAGGAGCACTGCCAGTGTCTGTAATAGACTCAAGAACTGTACATTTCAGCAGCTATATATCTGGACTGGAAGAATGTCAAGATGGAGAGGAAGACGAGAGACAAATACAAAAACAGTATGACATGCTTACAACTGGCTGTGAGGCATATGCTAGGTTTGTGTAGTGCAGTTCAGGTATAGCAGAATGTGATACTTTATAACACAATGTAAACTGCTCATTATTTCTTTTAATAAATTATATAGCTGAATAATGGAATGCTTCCATGCCAGAATGAGTCACTTGAAAAAGGCTAAGTTCTTAGAAGCACCAATAGGTTAAGTACAAAAAAGGAAAAGAAAAAACATAATGCCATCCATAACATACCTTTGTGTGAACATGAGACCAAATCAATGGTGACTCATCAATAAGGCTTTGTAGATATTTACTGGTGGCCGAGAGAGTTGTCAGGTCCCGCAGAGACACATGGCAGAGAACACGATAAACTAATTCCAAAGGTACACCTTCAACTCCCACTTCACTCCACCCTGCACCCATCCTGGATGATGCTCATTCATCCTAAGTGAAAAGAAGGTCAATAACATCAGAATATTAATATAGTACTTAGGAAGTATCTATTTCCTGTTCATGAATTTTTTTTAATTCTTTTTCATGAATGATTACTTTCTTGTTCATAATTAATTTAATGGCAGCTGGGTAACTAACAGTTAGTTAAAGGCTACTTGCATGATAACTGGGTAGTGACCAGTAGTTACCAGTTTTGCCAAACATACAGCACTGAGCTGCACATCTAAAAATGCTGTTCAGAATCTGGTTTACATTTGGCTACCAGAGTGCCAGGTATATAACCTGGCAGTAGTTTCAATACTGTCTACCAGGGCCTTGAGCCCCCATCCATTCCAAGAATTGTTTTCAATTGTGTTATTAAGATTTCTGCAATTCTCAAAAACATTAGATACACAAACAAAAAAATTGGAGTAAATAAGATCTTATACTGTAGGATCTAATAGCACCTGGTAAATTTCTGCTTATTTCCCATAATGAAGTAATATCCTAAACTTATTACACTAAGTACATACTTTATAAAAAAAAATATCAGAAATGTCAACATCCTATTCAGTGAACATATACAAAGATGAACAGAATGTAAACAAAAGTGCACCTGGAGTTTACCTGGAGAGAGTTCCAGGGGTCAATGCCCCCGTGGCCCGGTCTGTGACCAGGCCTCATGGTGGATCAGGGCTTGATCAACCAGGCTGTTACTGCTGGTTGCACACAATCCAACATATGAACCACAGCCCGGCTGGTCAAGTACCGACTTTAGGTGCTTGTCCAGTGCCTGCTTGAAGACAGCCAGGGGTCTATTGGTAATCCCCCTTATGTATGCTGAGAGGCAGTTGAACAGTCTTGGGCCCCTGACACTTATTGTGTTGTCTCTTAACGTGCTAGTGACACCCCTGCTTTTCTTGGGGGATTTTGCATGTTGCCGAGTCTTTTTTTTCGTAGAGTTTTTTTCATGTGAAATTTTGGGTTAAGTCCCCCTAGGACTTTCCAGGTGTTATAATCATGTATCTCTCCCGCTGCACCCAGGGAGTAAGGTTCGGGAAAACTTCAAGCGCCCCCAGTAATTGAGGTGTTTTATCTCGTTATGCGCGCCGTAAAGGGTTCTCCTACTTTTTCTAGGTCACAATTTCACCTGCTTAAAATGTGTTAGTGTGCACAATACCCCAGCCTAATAGAACAAGCGACCTGAAGAGTTCATCAGGGGTTTGGGCACCCTATTTTTGAAGGTTTAAAAATCCTCCTTCTTTTTTAGCAGTTTCAATTAAAACAATGTTATGGTTTAAAGGGTGAGATCCCCCGACATGACACCCCCAGGTTTTTGACGTTGGTTTTTCCTCTATTGTGTGGCGGGAAATTTGTTTATACTCGAGAATTTTTAAATTTTCCCTCTGTTTACTATTGGAGTAATTAAAATTTTTCCATCGCTAAATTTATATTTTTTTCTGCAGCCATTGAAGTTTTGGTTGATGCTGCCTGGAGTCTTGCGGCTATATTCTGCTAATGGAGAAAGGGTTATTTTAATTTGGTTACAAAAGGTTATTTTAAGTTGGGTTACGGGGGTTTTATAAGTTGGGCTACGTGGATTATTTTAAGTTGGGTTAGTCGGTTTTCCTTTCTTGAATTTGCACATAACAAACATTCTTGACAAAACCATCCTGTACTGGATATTTTTAGGAAAAACTGTAGTTGACTCGGGAAAAAAACCTTGTATCCAAAATTTACTCAAAAAATATGTTACAATGGGAAAAAAAATGGACATGATTTCTTGGGTTTAATATTGGCAACTTATATTAAGCTGATTTCTTCTTTAATGATCAGGTAATTTTTTTTTATTTCACTTGTATATTCTATTTTATTTTGGGTGTCCCAAGCTCAACACTAGCACACTCACTCACAACGGGGGCCAGGGTTTGAAATTTCCTCCGGTACGGCTGGGAAAAAATTAGGGACTGATTTCCCTAAGACATCTACTGCCCGTCCCGTTTACCCATCATATAATGGGTACCTGGGTGTTAGTGGACTGGGTGGGTCGCATCCTGGGCCAAAACTAACCTAATTTGTCTGAAATGTTCAGCATAACAAGTGGCTTTCTGCAACAGTTAGGTATCTTTATTATGAAACGTTTCGCCTACACAGTAGGCTTCTTCAGTCAAGTACAGAAAAGTTGATAGAAGCAGAAGATACTTGAAGACGATGTAATCAGTCCATCACCCTTAAAGTTTTGAGGTGGTCAGTCCCTCAGTCTGGAGAAGAGCATTGTTCCATAGTATGAAACAATATGGAGATGAAGTGAGAGGATGGAGCTTTTTATAGCGCCAAGAGGTGAGACGTAGGCCACTAGGAGAGGTAAGAACTCAGATGTTGAGAGGTCAGGTCCCTCTCAAATCCAGCCGCTCTCACTAGTGGAAGTTGTTGAAGTTGATTGCAGGTCTGTACCAAGATACCCTTGTGTTGCAGTGTCTGACAGATTGAACATTAAAATGGTATAAAATACCGACAGGTTGTTAGGTAAGACACATATGCAACAGTTAGGTATCTTTATTATGAAACGTTTCGCCTACACAGTAGGCTTACTGTGTAGGCGAAACGTTTCATAATAAAGATACCTAACTGTTGCATATGTGTCTTACCTAACAACCTGTCAGTATTTTATACCATTTTAATGTTCAAGGTCGCTCCTGTCTGTCTCAACTACTGGATCACTACGACAAGGTCCTAAATGCACTAGAAGACAAAAAGAATGCAGATGTAATATATACAGACTTTGCAAAAGCCTTCGACAAGTGTGACCATGGCGTAATAGCGCACAAAATGCGCGCTAAAGGAATAACAGGAAAAGTCGGTCGATGGATCTATAATTTCCTCACTAACAGAACACAGAGAGTAGTCGTCAACAGAGTAAAGTCCGAGGCAGCTACGGTGAAAAGCTCTGTTCCACAAGGCACAGTACTAGCTCCCATCTTGTTCCTCATCCTCATATCCGACATAGACAAGGATGTCAGCCACAGCACCGTGTCTTCCTTTGCAGATGACACCCCAATCTGCATGACAGTGTCTTCCATTGCAGACACTGCAAGGCTCCAGGCGGACATCAACCAAATCTTTCAGTGGGCTGCAGAAAACAATATGAAGTTCAACGATGAGAAATTTCAATTACTCAGATATGGTAAACATGAGGAAATTAAATCTTCATCAGAGTACAAAACAAATTCTGGCCACAAAATAGAGCGAAACACCAACGTCAAAGCCCTGGGAGTGATTATGTCGGAGGATCTCACCTTAAAGGACCATAACATTGTATCAATCGCATCTGCTAGAAAAATGACAGGATGGATAATGAGAACCTTCAAAACTAGGGAGGCCAAGCCCATGATGACACTCTTCAGGTCACTTGTTCTATCTAGGCTGGAATATTGCTGCACTCTAACAGCACCTTTCAAGGCAGGTGAAATTGCCGACCTAGAAATGTACAGAGAACTTTCCGGCGCGCATAACGGAGATAAAACACCTCAATTACTGGGAGGCTTGAGGTTTCTAAACCTGTATTCCCTGGAACGCAGGAGGGAGAGATACATGATTATATACACCTGGAAAATCCTAGAGGGACTAGTACCGAACTTGCACACGAAAATCACTCCTATGAAAGCAAAAGACTTGGCAGACGATGCACCACCCCCCCAATGAAAAGCAGGGTGTCACTAGCACGTTAAGAGACCATACAATAAGTGTCAGGGGCCCGAGACTGTTCAACTGCCTCCCAGCACACATAAGGGGGATTACCAACAGACCCCTGGCAGTCTTCAAGCTGGCTCTGGACAAGCACCTAAAGTCAGTTCCTGATCAGCCGGGCTGTGGCTCGTACGTTGGTTTGCGTGCAGCCAGCAGCAACAGCCTGGTTGATCAGGCGCTGATCCACCAGGAGGCCTGGTCACAGACCGGGCCGCGGGGGCGTTGACCCCCAAAACTCTCTCCAGGTAAACTCCAGGTAAGTGGCTTTCTGTTTAGTAGTATGTCACTGATGTCAGCTAGGACTGTATACCTTGTACTTGTAGTAAATAATTATTATTATTATTATTATTACTGGATCTATTGTTACTGAAATTTACTGTCAAGCATCTGATTTAATCTATTCGATTTTTTTTAACAATCATGGAAATATGTCATTTTGTTTGACTTTTTTGGGTTATCTTTGGAATATTACACAAATACTACTATATACGATAACTGTGTAAGTAAACTTCTTAACATTAACCTCCATGTCATGAGCGGCATTTTAACATCATGGCCAGCTATCCAAAAATTGTGAAATATTATTAAACCCACGACTGTAACTCTCACCAGTACAGCAAACCTGTGTAACTGCCTTACAAGCGTCATTAAGAGCGTCCTTTCGTTACAATGGAAGGTGAGAGAGAGAGAGCAACAGTTCTTACCATGAAGATAGTCAAGACCGACCCCGTCCCTCAACCAGCTGCTGCTGCTGCTGCTGCCACCACAACAATGTGTCCCGACATCTCTCATATCCTCTTGCACACTTAATTAATTATATCTTGTTATATCCGCCTGCTCCTACATATCTTCGTTTTAGAAATCTTGTATTTTATTACGATAGCTATATCCATGTATTATTTTTGGTGGGAGTATGAGTTAATAGGAAGTGAGTTTTTTTGTGGCCAGTTACCTGGAGAGAGCAGTCGAACACCAGCGGTGTTGCCCGCCTGAGGATTTTTTTTCTGGTCACTTGAAAATAAGTGAATTAATGCCTAATAACTGTTCAGAATGAGGTTAAAACTTTAAATGTTAATTGGATATTATCAGCAGTTTAATTGTGCTTCAGTTTAACTGCCTGAATACTGTGATTCTGTTATATACCCCAAGGCAAAAAACATTAATGTACCCACCTTTGTGGGTCTCGGGTGGGGCAGACAAGGAAAAAAAAGCGCCAGTTCCCCAGCCATTTGTTTCCAGGAAAAAATGCCGCGAAACTATCTCGTACATAATTTCAAAATATCCTTTAAATTTAAAAAAATCTGTCATATTATACAAGCCACCTGTCACTAAAAAATACAGAAAATTAATTAGTAGGTTATTTAGGTACAGGTACACCTAGGTAATTTACATTATCATATTTGTACTTATGTGTACCTGTGCTTAAATAAAATTATGTACAATTATCATAACCAGTAACAAATGTGTAAATTCCCTAGGATAACCCAAAACAGTCAGATAAAGTGACTTATGTTACTTTTTGTTTTCCGTGCAGTCCACCTGGATTTGAGGATATTTTAGTTTTCGTGAAATACAAAGAAACTAGGTTTAATTCTGTTACAAATTTTCCTGTACATAAACAAAACTTAATGGGTACTGCTCTAAGATACGTCAGCCAGAAAATATTGAAGCCAATCAGACGAGGTAAACTGGAATTTATTTAACTTGGTTTAAGGGGAACACACTTTTACATATAAAATGGTCAGATCTACACCTACACACTTTAATTTTGCTCTCTGTCGTCGAATTAGGAGGCACCTTTTCTGAACATGCGAAACTACTCCACTGAGAGTTTTGGAAGCTATGTGGGCCATTGCAGGATGCTGGGAATGGGTCCTACAACTATGGTTATAGGGCACATTAATATGCAGTTGTTCAAAGAACCTCTTCCTCGTTACCGTACACAAGTGTTAAAAATTGGAAGATGATTCGTTCAGCGTAGTGACCAGTATAACGCCAGAGGCTCACATCAGCCGAATAATCTCTGCAGCCAAAGTTCTCTGACAAATCTAAGAAAAGCCTTCAGGAATCTCATCAGAGTCATTTCAGGCCCTTTATACAACACATGTTAGATCTATCTTGTAGTGTGAAGCACCAGTATGGAACCCACACCTGAAAAAGTATGTTAAGAAAGTGCAAAAGTATGCAACAAGGCTTGTTCCTGAGCTAAGGGACATAAACTACGAGGAGACGACCAAACTGGATCCAACGACATTGGCAGACAAAGGAACCGGAAAAGGAGGGACATGGTAACAAAAAAAAAAAAATACTCAGCGGAAATTATAAGATAGACAGGGATAGGCTGTTTGAGAGGCGAGAAATGGAAACTCTAGAACATCCTCTGAAGTTAGACACAGATGAGTCAGGGATGTTAGGAAGTACTTCTTCAGTATCAGAGTGGTCTGGTGGCTAAAGCTCCCGCTTCACACACGGAGGGCCCGGGTTCGATTCCCGGCGGGTGGAAACATTTCGACACGTTTCCTTACACCTGTTGTCCTGTTCACCTAGCAGCAAATAGGTACCTGGGTGTTAGTCGACTGGTGTGGGTCGCATCCTGGGGGACAAGATTAAGGACCCCAATGGAAATAAGTTAGACAGTCCTCGATGACGCACTGACTTTCTTGGGTTATCCTGGGTGGCTAACCCTCCGGGGTTAAAAATCCGAACGAAATCTTATCTTATCTTATCTTAAGGGTAGGTACGATAGGGCCCACGAGGCTAAGATGGATTGAATCTGAAGAGTGGCAAGTTAAGAAACAGAGCTAGGATCTGAAAATCGGCCCCTGCAACTACAAATAAAGGAGTACACATACATACACACATAACATTAATCGCTGATCAACCTTAAAGGAAAGGTTGGATTGATTTTGGCCTGTGTGAGTACTAAATTGCCATTTTTTATTGAAGAAATTTGAAAACTGAAATGCTAATTTTGATAAGATAATTTGCGAGTTCTTCATCCGATTGTCTTCAAACCTTCAACTTTATAACCTGATAATGCAAATCTGAGTGGCCTCTTTCTTGGTGGAAGGTTTAAATTTGTGTTGGGCTGTGTTTATCCTAATTTGTCACTTTTTATTAACTAGGTTATTAGTTTCCACGTGATAACTCGTGAATGACTTCTGACTAGCTTCAGATCTTCAACACTATCCAACTGTATTACAAACTTATGTTACACTCTACATTATTCCTTTGGCATACATTGACGTACAGGGGACTGAGCTATGTGACACGGGCCTCTGTTTATTTATTTATTTATTTATTTATTAACAATTTGAGCATATATACAGAGGTACAAAAAAATACAGATAAGAGCAGCATGCCAAAGCCACTTATACTATGCATAGCATTTCGGGCTGGCTTAAAATTAACTAAGCAATGATGAAATCAGTGATAATACATTATTGTAAACAGATAACTATAAAGCACAAATGAGTATTACAAAGACAGGTCATATGGTTGCATGCATTGTTGTACATTCAGTCGTATGGAGTATTCTGTTAGGTAGTGTATTTAAAAAATAATAAAGTTAGATTGGGTTTTAGGTTTAACATTTATGTGATATAATTGTGAGAAACATTTAAGATATACAATTTATAAGGTTCAGTTATTCAGTATTTATTTGGTTTTGGGTGAGTAAGTGATCTTTGAAAAGAGACTTGAATTTATAAACAGGTAGTGTTTCTTTTATATTTACAAGTAATGAATTCCAGATTTTAGGGCCTTTTATGTGCATTGAGTTTTTGCATAGTGTGAGATGGACACGAGGAACATCAAAGAGTGATCTGTAAGATAAGATTTCGTTCGGATTTTTAACCCCGGAGGGTTAGCCACCCAGGATAACCCAAGAACGTCAGTGCGTCATCGAGGACTGTCTAACTTATTTCCATTGGGGTCCTTAATCTTGTCCCCCAGGATGCGACCCACACCAGTCGACTAACACCCAGGTACCTATTTGCTGCTAGGTGAACAGGACAATAGGTGTAAGGAAACGTGTCGGAATTTCCACCCGCCGGGAATCGAACCCGGGCCCTCCGTGTGTGAAGCGGAAGCTTTAGCCACCAGGCCACCGGGCCTTGTGTTATGGTCATGTGTTCTGTTGAGGTTGGCAAGGAGATGTTTGAGGGGAGGGTTAATATCAGAGTTAAGTGTTCTATGTATGTAATAGGTGCAGTAATAAGTATGGATGTTTTGTATGGTGAGTAGGTTTAGTGTATTGAATATTGGTGGAGTGTGCTGCCTGTAGTGAGAATTTGTTATCATTCTAACTGCAGCCTTTTGTTGGGTAATTAGTGGTCTGAGATGGTTAATTGTTGTTGAGCCCCATGCACAAATTCCATAGGTGAGATAGGGGTAAATAAGAGAGTGATATAGGGCCAGGAGGGCTGACTGTGGAACATAGTACCGTATCTTCGATAGTAGCCTACAGTCTTGGAAATTTTCTTAGAAATTTGTTGTATATGTGTATGAAATTTGAGTCTATTATCAAGGTGGATTCCTAAGAATTTTCCCTCTGTTAGCTTTGTGATAGGTGATCCGTTTATCATTATGTTAAGAGGGACATCTGTAGCTCTGTTACCAAACTGAATGAAGTAGGTTTTGTCAATGTTTAGTGTAAGTTTGTTAGTCCTCATCCAGGTAGATATTTTCTGTAATTCGGTATTTACAGTATTGGCTAGCGTGACTGGGCTCGGGTGAGAGAAGACGTATGTGTGTCATCTGCAAATAGTGTGGGTTTTGAGTAATTGCGAAGCATTTGGAAGGTCATTTATGTATAGGAGAAAGTAGAGAGGGCAAGGACACTTCCCTGTGGGACACCAACTGTAATTGGTTGCGCAGAAGAGTTTGCCCCATTTGCGTACACATATTGGCTTCTGTTGCTGAGGTATGACTTGAGGGAGTGCCCTCTTATACCATAGTGTGACAATTTTACGTGGAGCAAGTCATGATCAACTGTATCAAAAGCTTTACGTAAGTCAATGAAGATCCCCAGTGGACTTCTTTTTTCTCTATTGCAGTGTATATATGTTCTAGCATGTGTATCATAGCATCATTAGTATTTTTATTAGGCCTGAATCCAAATTGGCAGGGGTTGAGTATGTTTTGGGAGATAAGGTAGGAGTAGATTCGTTTATGAATTAATTTTTCGAAGATTTTTGAGAGAGGGTGTAAGTTGGATATTGGCCTATAGTTATTCAACTCTGTTTGGTCTCCTCCTTTGTGGATCGGGGTGACCCTTGCTATTTTGAGTACTGTAGGGAAGGTGGAGGATTCTATGGATTTGTTAAAGAGTGTTGCATTGATTGGTGATAGCACTTGTGACAGTTTTTTGTATATAAAGGGTGGTAAGGTATTTAATTCTCCTGCCTTGTTTTTTAGTGCGTTGATAATAAGGGAGACTTCGTATGGGTTAGTCGGAGCAGGAACAGTGTGTTCGGGTAGTTTGCCGGTGAGGTAGTCATTTGGTGGGGTATCTGAGCTTGGGATTTTATTGGCAAGGTTTTGTCCTATAGTGGAGAAGAAATCATTGAGTCTGTTTGCTGTTTCTGTTGGTGGGAGTTGGGGTTTATATGATTTTGCTAATTTTATTTCGCTATTTCGTGATATCTTTTTTGTTCCCAGAATTTCTGATAGGGTTTTCCAGGTCTTTTTTATATCACCTCGTAAGTTGGATAATCTGTTCTCATAATACAATTTTTTTGCCCTTCTTATCAGGCTGGTTAGGATTGACGAGTAACGTTTTGTTTAGTCTCTGGTTATGTGACCCTGTTTTTCATATTGGTTAGGTTAGG